GCAGAAGGAAAGGCAATTGCACGAGGCGAATGAGGGAGCACGAGATCCTATGAGAGACACAGGACGTTAGACAACACATTAACATTTCTTGAGTCATTTTACCTTTGGTGGCATTTGTGGCTCCCCATCTTTCCACGAAAAAATAACGATTCTTCGTCTACAACCAATGGCTAGCAATGTGACGACAGCAGGAATCTGTTTAGCTGATGGATCTTTTGTATTAGTTGTTGTCCCATCTTCATTGGTGTAGATTACAGTTGTATCGAGGGAGAAACAGAGTGCTCCTCGTGTTTCTATAACCTTTGGTGGAGCTAAAGTTGGCAGCGGATGAAGAGTCACAGTAGATTCTATTCGAAGATTTAGTATGGTATGAGGAATGTCGGATAGACTACATACCAGCAAGAGAGATAAGGGAATACGTGTCCTTGATGAAGCCAAGTTGTTCAACACTACGTCTGACCAACGACTTCTTCACCTCTTCCAGGGTGGCATGAAATGTACCATCTAGTAATAGATCAGAACTTGATTGTATACTATGTTTTATGAGATCGTTACCTTCTGTCTTGTCTAAGCTATACACCAAAAGGTTGCCTAAATTTGTGCCTAGGTATATGCGGTCACCTATAATCGTTCGTTAACAGGTAATAAATATACATGATGAACTAGCTGACCATGAGATGCTATAGCATCTATTCGCTCTTTGATCCCTTCAATTAGGATTTGCGAGGAAAATGGTGGCATTGGCCAGGTTGTTACACAATTTGAAACCACCTAACGCGCCATGACCGACCTTTTGGTAGAACTCGTACTCCATTCATCGAGTCTTAGCATCTATATGGTCAATTTCTGTCGATAGTAAATAACTTTACTTCATTCGCTATATTTTATGGGAATATACAAGACATATTGGAATCTTCTACAACCGAAAATCGGAGATAAATACAATGTGAATATCCGTATTGTTGATATATCCAAGAGATATCACTGCTCAGATGTAGGAGAGCTTGATGCACTAGACGACTCGGCTGGGACAGCAGAAACGATATTAGTGTCGATGGTGATGGCTGGCGGAACCACTGGGGCGCGCGGTTGTGGAGCTGGTCTCCTGCCATATTCTAGATTTCGCTTGACATAGAAGCACATATAAGGTACAGAGTTTAGAACTTCTTTGAGAGTAGCATGCGTGACCCTTACGATAGGTTTCGTTAGATCGAACGGTGAGTGAAATAAGCTACCAGCTTACTTTTCGTCATCAAATCTATACCACTTGGGTCTCATTATTAGTGGGATATACGTAGAGATGAAACATGTGCTTACTTCACTTTGGTGCCTTGCAAAGTTGGTGTAGTGGCCAGTATTCAGCTGGCCCTCGTGATTGATGACACCAAATAATTCATAATCATATGTCGGCAAGGCATTCAAGTCACGTGGGCCCGTATCTCTGCCAGAATATGTGAGCCCATGCTCCCCAAATGCTACTCAACGTACTTGTCGCGCATTCCTATGGCAGCAGTAGTATAAGGCGTCATATTAATAACGACCGGGAATTTGACTGGTATATCGATCTTGGACGCAGAAGATTTGTGTTCAAAGCGCTGACGATGTGTGAGCAAATGATCGCGTCAACTTGAACAATGCCAACCTTCAGCTGAATACATAAAACTGGCGGTAATTTCTTGATGCTCAGTTGCTTGGTTGCCTCCTGTGCATAGTGAGTACTCAGAAAGAAGCAACCAAGTTTACTTACACTTGACGAAGAGTGGCATTGACCACAAACGTAGGCCTTTGGCTGAAGTTTCTCCTGACCTGTAAATCTAAGACGAGGTGAGAAAGATGACTTAAGATTCAAATAGATGCTCACCTTCGAAGACAAGATGCTAGGGTGATCCCTTTTCCTTCTTGTATTCCCTTGAGTTCCAGGCTGATGTCCAGCATTGGGTCAACTGTGGGATTTACATGACCACATTTTCCGCATTTGACATCACTTTGCAATTGTCCAGCAAATATCTGATGTATGCTGCAATTGCACGATGCCTCATGGGTAGAGCCCGGGCAACCGTGATGAAGTTGATTGAGAACCGCAATAAAGTACTCGTGTGCATCGTGTTGAGCATAACCAGCAATATCGTTGCTGTTTTCCCATGTCGTTCTCAGAAGAGATAGTGGACCTAGAGGCGGACCGGTTCCAGCTGGAGCTTCCGGAATGGATCCTGAGGAGGACGGCTCCGAAAATGTCTCCGTGAAGAGTTGATCTAGTTCGCAGCACATGCAGTTCTGTTGTTCACAAAGCTGAGTATTATGCTTGTCGCTCAGGAAATAATTCCGCAACAACGGGTTGTGAAGGAAACATTGCAGGATGACACTCATATAGCAAGTGGACCCCAGGTTCAAAAACCCTCTTCTTGGACCGCAAGAAATATTTGAAGTTTTTAGAATTGCCGCTTTCTCGTCCGTGGAAGGTTTCCAAGGCCGGACGACCCGTTTCTTTCGCCCGCGATCTAAAGACCTCAGTATATACGTTAGAAGTAGTGGAAATGGATTCACCAGAAGGACCCATCGCAGTATTGGGTGTTTCATCGTCAATTTGCGACCTTTCAAACATGTGGAAGTCGTCACATGAGCCACAGAATACGGTCCCAGACAGCATGTCCAGCGCTTTGTAGGAAGGAGAAATGAGAACAAGTAGAGGATGAAAATTTGAGATAACAATACCTAATGGATGCTTTGATTGATTTAGATGGGAGTGTATATGGTTACTCGACCAACAACCGATGTAGCGACATTCCAGACACATAAACGGCCTTTTAAGAGGAGCGCTGCAGGTACCGCACAATGGAGCTTGCATCTGAAAGGATTTAGGCATACGATTTATGGATGTACGGTTGTGCTGCTTACCTTTCGCTTTTTGGGCTTCGGACCCTTGGCCAATGCTGACGAAGCTGACCAATTCAGGCCCTTATCGTAGTTGGCAAGCATACGAGATGATGCTTTGAAAGCAACAATATGTTCACAATCGTCGGAGACTGTGGACAGATGGTCGAGTTCCATCGCGTCCTCGGTCACAGAAGCAGCTCGTCTTCTCGGAGATTCACTATCATGCGAGCTGTCCGATGGTGTTGCGCTTGAAGAACGGGGCATCCTGAAAGCTTTATTTCCTTGTGGCAGGAAGAGGGAAATTCACTAGTAGGCGTCGACCTGGACAACTTGCCACCACCCACCCATGAAGTCGACGATGACCTTTTCGACCGTCAGCATTCGATTCCATTATTGGCCAACCTCCCGCTGATCACTCGATAAAAAGTATCGCTTTAAGGAGAATAGAAGAGGGACACGCATTTCCCGACGATCACACACGATTTGGCAGGGTGCAGTAAGGATTTATTGTAGACAGAATGAAGAAAAGGCATTAAAAGGTGGGCTATTACAGCAATATATGGAGCTCAATCACATCAACCATTCAAGATCATTAACGAACTCGGCTAGCGTAAATGGGACAATGCAAAAGTAGCAATCAGTGCTCATCGGCGCTCGAAAAGACCCTGCAAAGAGAGGGTTCGTCAAGTTATTGGCGGTTAAAGCAAGAAATTACGCACTGAGATAATCGCCATTGCGCGAATTTTTCATGGAGCTCTTGCATTAGAAGATCACAACCGAAGTCGGTCACCGTTAATTTTGGTGGGAGTTCTGCATTTCCTTGTTCTGTATCCTATTCTTGTT